GCCGCCAGGGAGGGGGGTGCCCATCGCCGATGCGAGAAACCCGAGCGGATCTCCAAAACACTTATCTTATATGACATGTGTTTACCCCGAGGAGGGGGCAAGGAGGGGGAGGACGAGAGACTGGCGCGGGAGGGGGGTCGAACGGCGAGCTCCTCGCCGAAGGCGACGGAGGGCGCGCAGGCCACCGCCTTGTCGGACTTGCAGGGCCCCTTGCCATCGGGGCCCTCGCCTGGGCTCCGCAAGAGGAGGGAGGAGTGGGGGCGAAAGGGAGGAAAAGAACGGCGAGGAGGATGATAGATGTGGAGGAGGGCGGTGGGCAATGGGGAGTGGGGAGGAGGAGAGCGACAGATGGGAACATGTAGCCTTGGCGTCGAATAGTGCTTCCCTTGATTCTCAAGAGTCGCCTTTCTCTGCGGAACCTGTGACGTTGGCGGCATGCCACCTGCAGTGGGTCAGCTGCTGCAGGCACGTGCCGGAGCCTCTCCACGGCGCGGAACTGCCGACGCCACTGCTGATGTAGGCTTGTGGAGGAGGAGGAGGAGGAGGAGGAGGAGGAGGACAAGGAGGAAGAGGGGGAGGAGAAAGAGGAGGAGGAGGAGGAGGAAAGGAGGAGGGATGAGGAGGAGGAGGAAGATGAGGGGAGGAGGAGGATACAAGGAGGAGGAGGAGAAGGAGGAGAAGGAGGAGGAGGAGGAGGAGGAGGACGATTGGCAGGAGGAGGAGGAGGAGGAAGGGGAGGAGGAGGAAGCGGAGGAGGAGGAGGAGAGGAGGAGAAGGAGGAGGAGGAGGAGGACGAGTGGGGGGAGGAAGAAGGGGGAGGAGGAGGAGGGGAGGAGGAGGAGGAGGAGGAGAAGGAGGAGGAGGAGGAGGACGACGAGGATGATGATGATGCTGATGCTGATGCTGATGCTGATGTTGATGATGCTGCTGTGCTGCTGATGATGCTGATGATGATGCTGATGATGATGATGATGCTGATGATGATGATGATGATGATGATGATGATGATGACGAGGAGGAGGAGGAGGAGGAGGAGGAGGAGGAGAAGGAGGACGAGGACGGGGTGGAAACAGAGGGATGAAGGGCAGGAGGAGGCGGAGGAGGAGGAGGAGGAGAAAGAGGAGGAGGAGCAGGAGGAGAAGGAGGAGGACGAGAAGGAGAGGAGGAGGAGGTTGAGGAGGAGGAGAAAGAGGAGGAGGAGGAGGAGAAGGAGGAGAAGGAGGAGGACGAGAAGGAGAGGAGGAGGAGGAAGGTCGGGAGAGAGCCGAGATCTCCGTTTTGGATGGGGAGGAGGACGGAGTCGGCCCAAAGGTCAAAACCAAACGCCCAGCCTAGCGTGGGCAAGCACGTCCTGGCACATCGGGGGGAGGGGGGAGGATGAGGACAAGGGGGAAAGGGGGGGGATAGAGCGGGGAGCTTTTCTTCCGGGCAGGAGGAGGAGGAAGGCCAGGAGAACATGTGAGAAGGAGGAGGGGAAGGAGGAGGAGGAGGAGGCGCAGGAGGAGGAGAAGGCGGAGGAGTTGATCCAGACGGGGCCACAAGCGTGCGCAGGCGACGCAAGCAGACTCAGGCAGACGCCTGACAAGAAGGAAAGGCCTCGGGCACCTCCAGAAGGAGTGCCACACGAGGACGGGTCAGGAGGCCACCCCTACTCGGCGCGATCGTCATCGACCACGGCCAGGCCCCCGAAGGTGGCGTCGATGACGGCCTCGCCGAAGGGGCGTGGCCTCAGCTGACCCTTGTCAGTCGGCAGCAGCGGCCGCCCAGTGCGAGGGCGGAGGCCCTCCCAGAGACGGTCCAAACGCGTGCGCGTCTCAGGGGGGGCACTCCGCCGTGGCAAGGCTGCGCCAGCAGCTGCGCACTCTCGCTCGAGTGCGCACCGCAGCGGGCACAGAAGATGAAGTGGCCTACATGCCAGACGCGGTGACCCCCACCAGGCCCCGCCAGGCCGGGGGCGAGCAAGCGTCGTTGCGTCGTGGGCTCTGAGGCGGGGCCCGGCCAGGAGGGCCTGGCGGGCTCCTCCACGCTGGCGCTGGCCGGCACTCTGCCGCGCGGGAGCCCCGCCGAAGCCCTCGGCAGCGGGCCCCCGCGGTGCTCGCGCCCGTCGGGTGCTCGCGGGGCAGCGGCAGCGGCGGCGACGGGAGAGGCGGGCGGAGGCCGAAAGAGGACGTGGGCAGACGGGGAGCCTCTGCCTGACTGGCCCCCCCCCTCCCCGCTTCTGCCTGGGCCTCCTCCCCCCCCTCCCCCCCTAAAGAGCCGTGCTTGTCCAGGCGCGGCGTCGCTGGGCCGGCCGCGGCCGGCCGCGGCTCTCGGGCGACGTCGCCCGCGGCTCCCCGCGCAGGCGATCGCCGTTGCCGCCCGAGGCGCTACTCTGGCGGCGCGCTGGGCGGCGAGGCTGGCCCGCGGCGCAACGGGAGCTCTCCCCTCGTGGGGCCCCGAATCATGTTGGTAATCCGAGCGGGGCATCCGAAACCTGTGTAGGTGTCCAGTGTCCCCATAGCTGTTGCCGGTTTGGGGATCTTGAGGCCTGCGTCGGGAGGAGTCTCAGGCGGGGGCGTCGTCTGTGAGTGAACGTGGCGGAAGTCTCAGTGAACCGGAGGGAAGTCTCAGGCGGGAGCCCCCTCCGTGTGGGGCCCGCGCTTTATGCTAGGGATCCGAGCAAGGTCCCACATGTCACAGGTCCCACAGGTCTCACAATCCCCACAGGTCGCACCAGTCGCACGGATCCCACAGGCCCAACACTGGCCCCGCAGGTCGCGCAGGTCCCTCTGATGTTCTCGCCTCGCGCAGAAGTCCTACAACTCGCGCAGGTCCCACGGGTCCCACACATACCAAGGGTCTGGCAAAGCCCGCTGGGCCCGCAGGTATGTCCCACGGGCCCCACAGGTTGCAGGTGCCACGGGCTCCATGGGTCTCACAGGTCCAGCGGGTCCCACAAGCTCCAAAGGCCCCACTGCTCCCACATGCAGGTTCCACAGGTAACAACGAAGCCCGCAAGTTCCACACGTCTCAAGATCCCACAGGGAACACACATTCCAAAGGTCCCACAGGCCTCACAGGCATCACAGTGCAACAATGCCCACAAGTCGGATAGCTCCCACAAGTCCCAGAGGATGCAGCCTGATATCCCGGCAGTCTGACATCATCATCATCATCATCATCATCATCATCATCATCATCATCATCATCATCATCAGCATCATCATCATCATCATCATCATGATCATCAGCATCAGCATCATCATCATCATCATCATCATCATCATCATATCATCATCATCATCATCATCATCATCATCAGCATCATCATCATCATCATCATCAGCAGCATCATCATCATCATCATCATCATCATCGTCATCATCATCATCACCATCATCAGCATCAGCATCAGCATCAGCATCAGCATCATCATCATCATCAGCATCATCATCATCATCATCATCATCATCATCATGGGTAATCGTCGATGGTGGTGGCTCGCATGCGCACTAAGAGACTATCGTGTGGGGTCCCTCCGTTTAGGAACAGGTTTGAGTATGGCAGAGTCTGTGAGTCTGTGAGCAAGCATAACTGTGTCGGCCTGAGCATGAATAAGTATGGTTCTGAATGCCAGTGGTGAGTAATCTGGGTGAGGGGGGATGAGCGTGAGTGGCCTGAGTGGGTGAGCCTGCGTGTGAGTGATTATGTGTGCAAGTCTGAGGCTTTTGAGCCTGAGTGCGATTGAGTTCGAGCATGCGTATGAGTGGTACTGAGTATGAGTCTGCGTGAGGCTGAGTCTAACTGCGCCTGCTTGAGTCCGAGTGGGGCTGAGTGCTGCCTGCGAGGCAGTGTTTCCAAATGTACCGTAGGGACATCGAATGTCTGAGTGCGAGGAGGAAGGTGGGAAAAGGAGAACACGAGGGAGGCGAACACATCACACGGGTAAGAACACCACCATTTTAAACTATGCGGAGCAATTACAAAACGCGGCCGTGCGGACGGTGTTGGGATCCCCAGAGGGGAGGGGGGGGGACACGTCGTGAAGACTACAGGGCGTCGGAGGTGTGGGGATGGCGATGGGGCCCGAGGCGTGTGCCATCGATGTGTGCGTGTGTGCGTGTGTGTGCGTGTGTGTGTGTGTGTGTGTGTGAATTTGTGTGTGTGTGTGCGTGTGTGTGTGTGTGTGTGTGTGTGTTGTGTGTGTGTGTGTGTGTGTGTGTGTGTGTGTGTGTGTGTGTGTGTGTGTGTGTGTGTGTGTGTGTGTGTGTGTGTGTGTGTGTGTGTGTGTTGTGCGTGCGTGCGTTGCGTGCGTGCGTGCGTGCGTGCTGTGCGTGTGTGCGTGTGTGTGTGTGTGTGTGTGTGTGTGTGTGTGTGTGTGTGTGTGTGTGTGTGTGTGTGTGTGTGTGTGTGTGTGTGTGTGTGTGTGTGTGTGTGTGTGTGTGTGTGGTGCGCGGGGGTGCTCTGCTCTGCGCTACCTCCGTTCTGCAGACACGGGGGCTTTCACCTCCGAGCCGCGGCCACCGAGGCAGGGCGCGCGGTGTGGCACGCGGGCGCAGCGCGCTGCAGCAAAATCCTTCGCCTCGGTCCCTGCCATCTTCTTCTCGCCCTCCTCCTGCTCGGCCTATTCTCCCGCTGTGTCCACCCTTCCTCCAGCTCCTCCCCGTGGCCCTTCCAAGGCGCCCCGCGCTGGTGGCATGCGTAAGTCGGGCATGCCCCTCTACATGAGGAAGATTCAAGAAGAGTGGTGACGATGCTCCGGGTTTTCGAGTATGTTTGATTTCTTGATTCTGTTAATCTCGTTCTGTTTGTTCGTCGAAACCCCGCCTGTGGGAGGACATGCCCCGTCCTAATGACAGGCTCGCAGGGTGCCTCTGGCGATCTCCTCCTTCTCCAGTCCAGCGCCCGAAGAAAGACGCGGCAGAGTGGCTCCCTGCGTACCACGGTGAGCCGAGAGAGCGAGAGGGACGCGGGGGGGACGCCCCCTGCCCCATCCTCCTCTCGCCCTGCCCGCTTGTCGTCATGTCCTTCGGCCTCCTCATCCTCCTCCTCATCCTTCTTCACCCTCCCCTCCTCTACTCCTCATCCGCCCAATCGTCCTCTTCCTCCTCCTCCTCTTCGTCCTCCTTCCCCTCCCCATCCTTCTCATAATCCGCCCCCCTCTCTCTCACTTTCTCTCGTTCTCTCTGTCCCCCTTTCCTTTTTCATTGTTTGGTTTGTTTGTTTCTCTCTCTCTCTCTCTTTGTCTCTCTTTCTCTCCTCATGCACTTCCTGCATTTTCTCCACGTCATCCTCTCTCTCTCTCTCCACTCTCCCTCCGCCTCACCCCCATCCTGCCTGCTCATTCTCTCCCTCCTCCTCCGCGTCACTCTCCTCCCATTCTGCCCCCGACCGTGACATATCACCAAATCTCCTTCGCCCTCCTCCTCGTCCTCCACATCCGCCTCCACCTGCACCTCCTCCTTCTCCTCCAGCTCCCCATCCTCGTCCTCATCCTCCTCCATGTTCGCTCCCCCTCCTCTTCCTTCCTTTTTCGCCGTCCTCTTTTGCCTCCCAAGAGATTAGCTGCCCACGGCCACCGTCCAGCCAGAGCATGTCCTGGGAGCTGGTCTTTGACGGGCTGTGCGAGGAGGAGGACTTTAAGGAAGGCAGGGGGGAGGGGACGGAAGAGGACCAGGAAAAGGATGGAGGAATGGGGATGAAGAGGAAGGAAAAGAAGGGAGGAGGAGAGGGGAGGGCTTGCGTCATTTCAAAGCTTGCGGTTGGGACTCCGGCGTTTGGGCTGCGTTCACACCCCAGCGCGGACGAGCAACCGCCAAGCTGTGCATATGACATCCACGCCAAGGGCGGCGGACGTCACCGCCGTGCGGTCCGTCTTCCCCCCGAGGACGAGGCAGGGGCAGGAGGAAGAGGAGAAAGAGGAGGAAGAGGAGGAGGAGGAGGAGGAGGAGAAAAAGGAGGAGAAAAAGGAGGAGGAGGAGGAGGAGGAAGAGGAGGAGGAGGAGGACTCCTCCCTCCTCCTTCCTCCTCCTCCTCCTCCTCCTCCCTCCTCAGACTGACAGGGAGGGGAAGGGGGGGAGGCCAGGGACGAGGGCTGGGAGGCTGAGGGGGGGGGGGGGAGGCGGCAGGGGGCGGGAGTTGGGGGGGGGCGGGGCAGGGCGGGGACGAGATGGCTGCAGGTGGAATCGCACCCGTCCGACCGCGCGATCTCGAGGCGCGGAGACAGACCCAGAGATCCGAGGCTCCCCCAAAAACTGGAGCGGCGGGACTCTGGCCGCTCTCGGCCTCGTCTGGGGGCCCTCGCCGGGCCTCGGGAGCGCCGACGAAAACCGACTCGGGACGAGGAGCCGGCCCTGCATATGGGGAAGCGGTGCAGGCCTCCGGGGCCCGCGGATCAAAACATCTGGAGCGGCCGGACGTCTGGGCTTGCGGGAGGCCGCGTCCGGCAGCCCCGCCGCACGTGCGGCGCTCGGGCCCCGCCCACCCGACCACCTCCGGGGGCGCCCCCCCGCCCCAGGGGGCGAGGCCGAGCGCCCGGCCCCAGGACGGGGGGGTTGCTGCCCAGCGAGCGGGCCCGCGCCTTCCCAGGATTTGGGTGACCCAGGCCCTGACCTTCCAGGAGGGCCAAAGCATAGCACCAGGACGTCGACGTCCTGAGTCCTGTCGAGGTCTGAGGCAGTCCAGATCGATCTATAGGTCTGGAGTGCTATTTTGTAGCACTCTGGAAGGTCAGGGAAAGGGGTCCAGCTGCTGAAAGGGGGTGGTGCAATAGATTTGGGGCAATGGGATTGCAAACGTACTGCGCTAGACAGTTGTATTGCATTGCGTTGCCAGTAGTGTATTGTGCGCGAACATCCACGCGGAAATCCAGCAACACACTTGCGCCCAGGAGTGTGTTGCACGCCCCAAGTGTATTGCAACGCCACACACCTATTGCTCCAAATCTACTGCACCACCCCCTTGTCGTTGGACCCCCATTTTGGGTCAACCCGACATGAGAGGAGGAAGGGGGGGAGGAGGAGGGCACAGAGAGGGGGAGGGGGAGGAGGAGGAGGAGGAGGAGGAGGAGGAGGAGAAGGAGGAGGAGGAGGAGGAGGAGGAGGAGGAGGCCGTCGCGTCCCACATGTGGCGCTCGTGCCCTCCCACCTCCGCCTCCCGGGCCCCCCCCCAGGGGAGAGAGGGCACGGAGAGCGCCGTCGTCGGCGGCCCCGTCCTGCGCCGCCGGGGGAGGCGGGAGGCGCGAGGGATGGAGGAGGAGGAGGAGGAGGAGCAGGAGGAGGAGGAGGAGCAGGAGGAGGAGGAGCAGGAGGAGGAGGATGAGGAGCAGGAGGAGGAGGAGCAGGAGGAGGAGCGAGGGAAGAGGGAGGGGGGGAGGGAGCAGGTAGGAGGAGGGGGGAGGGCCCCAGGGTCTCATCCTCCGGCGCCCCGACCCCCGCAATCTGCAAGCGCTGGGACCTGTTGGGCCCGCAGGACGTCGCCTTGACGGGGGTGAGCCGTGAGGAGACTGGGGCGGGGGGCGCAGCGACGGCGGGGGGAAATGGGTGAAGAACAAGAGAGGGAGGGGGGGAGCGGGGGATGGAGGGAGGGAGGAGTGAGGGACCAGGGAGGGAGGGAGGGAAGGAGGGAGTGTGAAGAGGGATGGAAGGGTGGAGGAGGCGGCGAGGAGGACCTGCCCCCCAGCTCCTCAGAGCGCGCACTGCCACTGGACAGGGGCCCACGCCACGAGTGAACGGGGGCAAGGTGGGACGAGGGGAGGGGAAGGCGTGGAGGGTGAAGGAGACACGAGGGGGAGCGGCACAGGTAAAATTATTTGCGTAGGACGCGCGACAGGACACGAGACTCTTGCGACAGCAACGTGGCGTCCGAGAGCAGCAAGACACGAGGGTGCCCTGCCCAGGCAGCGACCGCGGTCACCGGCAGCCGACCAGCAGCCTCAACAAAAGGGGGGACTCACGCAGCCCAGGCCGACCCGCAGCCCAGAGGCCGCGACTGCGGCAGGGGGGGGGGAGGCACAGGGGGGATATCGACCTGGAATCGGCCAGGCATCGCCGATGGACGCTGCAGTAGGCCCCCGGTAGCGTAACCGCACGTCCCTGGGCGGAGTTAAAACTGACTATCAGGCCCCTGTCGACCATTCATGGATGGAGGATCGGTGCGTGCCTCCCCGAGTCTAACTATCCCCCCCCCTGGGTCGCTGCCCCTGCGGGCAGGGATGCGGAGAGGCGTGGGGGAGGCCAGGCCCAGAGTGCGAGCAGGTCGGGCCTGTCCCCCTATAGGGAACTTGTGTGGGCGAAAGGTTTTGTAGTGAACTCAGAAACTGCACCCAAGATGCTCAGACAGAATCAAAGCATGGCCCCCTGGCAATTTTATCTCTGAGTCTTCCCCCTGCAGAGGGACGCACGCCCGACGGAAGACGAGGCTGGAGCAGGGGGGGGGGGGGGGGCGGGGGGGGTTTCTCCGGGGGGGGCACGCGCGGCGGGGCGGGGCGACCGACTGGGGTGGAGGCGGCGGGCCCCGGACGGGAGCCAGGGGCGAGGGCGAGGAGGGCGTGCGAGGGACGTGGAGGCGAGGACACAGCCTCCTCCCTCTCCTCCTTCTCCTCCTCCTCCTCCCTCCGCCTCCTCCTCCTCCTCCTCCTCCGCCTCCTCCTCCTCCTCCTCCTCCTCCGCCTCCTCCTCCTCCTCCTCCTCCGCCTCCTCCTCCTCCTCCTCCTCCTCCTCCTCCTCCACCTGGGGCGGGTGGAGTGTCCCAACGCTTGCGTCCGATACAGTTCACTGGGGCCCACGGCCTCGACACATCACTTCCGTGGAGGTCTCGGGGAGAAGGACGGATGGGGAGGCCGAGGGCGTGGGGAGAGGGGGGAGGAGGAGGAGCCGAGAGCTCGCGCGCGCGTGCAGGCGCGCCCACGCCTTTGGCCAGCAGAGGTCCATACCTCCTGGCCATATGGCCAGGAGGACGTACACTCGGTGTCAGAGCCCATGTTTGCCCCCACGGCCAGACACGGCGGTGTTGTAATTACCTCCCTCCTCCTTCCCTCCTCCTCCTCCTCCTCCTCCTCCTCCTCCTCCTGATCCTCCTCCTCCTCCCTTCCTCCTCCTCCTCCTCCTCTTCATCACTCTTCTCCTCGTCCTTTCCCACCATCCTCCTCCTCCTTCCTCCTCCTTCCTCCTCTTCCTCCTAATGTTCCTTCTGCCTCCTCTTCTCTCCCTCCTCCTCCTGATCCTCTCCTCCTCCTCTCCTCCTCGCTCCTCCTCCTCCTTCTCATCCACCTCTCCTCGTCCTTCCACACCTCCTCCTCCTCCTCCTCCTCCTCCTCCTCCTCTTCCTCCTCCTTTTCCTTCTCCTCCTCTTCCTCCTCCTCCTCCTCCTCCCTCCTCCTCCTCCTCCTCCTCCTCCTCCACCTCCTTCTCATCCTCCTGTGCCTTGTGCGCACCTTTTTCTTCTCGCTGCTCTTGCTGACGCATTGCGGTGAGGGCGTTGATTAAGGAGCCGCCGGGCAAGAGAGAAAGGCCCGGAGCCGAGCGGCCCCCCAGACCCATCGACCCGCCCCGGCGCGGGGGCGGCATGGGTGAGGAGGGGGTGGGCGAGTGGGAGCACGCGGGTGGAGGTCGAAGAGGGGAAGAGCGTGGAGGACAACGGCGACGAGGGAGAGGTGGGCCGGAGGAGGGGGAGGGGCGGGGAGGGGAGGGAAAAAGGAAGATTGGAGGGTGGAGGAGAAAGAATGATGATGATGATGATGATGATGATGATGATGATGATGATGATGATGATGATGATGATGATGATGATGATGATGATGATGATGATGATGATGCTGATGATGATGATGATGATGCTGATGATGATGAGGAGGAGGAGGAGGAGGAGGAGGAGGAGAAGGGGAGCATGGGCAGGAGCCAGGTACAGCAGGCAGAACGGCCAGGACGAGCGAGAGAAGGGGACGGGGCAGAGGAAAAGAGAAGGACAGGAGAAGGATGAGCACGAGAGGGCAAGGACGAGGAGAAGGGGCAGGAGGAGGATCCAGGGCCTCTGGCCTCCGATTTATCCAGCAGGCCGAGTCTCGGGCCATTGACCTCTCTTTTCTCATGGATTTTGCTCCGCCTGGAGGCCCAGTGCCAGCGGTTCCACGAGGACAGAGGAACTCTCTGGAGGAGATGTCCCTCTTCGTCTCCCAGAGTGTTCCCAGACTTCCGACGTCTTGGTTTCTCACATGTCGCAGCGTGTGGTGGACCCCCTCCCTGGGGCCGGCTTTTCATCACCAGTGGCGTCGCCGGAAGGCCAAGGGCCTGGAAAGACTCTCCCCCAGTACTGACAACCGTGCGAACACCATGCTCCGCCCTTGCTTCACACCGCTTGGGGGGGGGCCTGGGCCTGGGGGTAAAACAATCTCCCCCCCGAGCCTGTCCTGGGAGACGTGTGGAACAGAACTTCGAGGCGGGTCTGGCGGCGGCATCGAGGTGCCGAACCTCGCAGGCTGGACCTCGAAGGCCGCACCCGGAGCACCCCAAAGGCCGAACCTCGAATGCCGAACCTCACTGGCCGCCGGGGCCCGCCAGACGTCCATCCCCCGCGGAGGAGGCGCCGCCCCCGCCCCGGAGCGCGCCGAGCGCGGCCCTCCCGGCGGACAGAAGCGCGCACACGCACCGCGGCAACCCGGCGGCCCTACGCCGCGGCGCGCGGCCGGGGCCGACGGGCTGAAAAGGCGGGAGGCAGGGTGAGGGGAGGGGCCGTAGAGGCTCAGCCACTTCCTTCTGCGGTCCCCCCGCTGCCGACCGCTCCCTAGAACTAGCCGGGCCCCTTCGGCACCTGCGGGTGGACTTGATCCCCTTAGGCAGGGAGGGGCGGGGGAGGGCTCCTCGTCCTCCTCCTCCTTCTGCTCCTTCTCCTCCTCCTCCTCCTCCTCCTCCTCCTCCTCCTCCTTCCCGACCCACCCACCACCGCCCTCCCTCCCTCATGACGCAGACTCAGCGGGCAGGTTCCAGAAGGCTCCGATGCCCTCCCTCCTCAGGCCTCTTACTCCTCCTCCTCCTCCTCCTCCTCCTCCTCCTCCTCCTCCTCCTCGTCCTCCTCCTCCCACCCACCCACCCACGAGCCTGGCGGGAGCTAGGGGAGAATGGGGAAAAAGGGCGAGCAGGAGCATGAGGAGGAAGGAAGAGGGACGAGGAGGACGAGGAGGAGCAGGAGGGGTGAGAGATCGAAGGGGGAGGGAGAACGGAATGCGGTGCCATGGCCACTGCGTCCACGACCCGAGTGGTTGACGCTCGAATCCAATAGGTCAACGTGAAGGAGAGAGAGAGAGAGAAAGAGAGAGAGAGAGAGAGATAAGGGGACAAACACAAGGAGGAGGAAAGGAGGAGGAAGGAGGAGGAAGGACTAGGAAGAAGGAGGGCATGAGGGACATAGGAGAGGAGGCTGGATGGGCATGGAGAAACAAAAGGAGGAGGAGGAGGAGGAGGAGGAGGAGGAGGAGGAAGAGGAGGGAAAAGAGTCGGAGTAGGTGGAGAGGCTGAAGGAGGAGGACAATAATGGGTTGTAGAAAGAGGGATTGGAGGAAAAAGATTTGACGGAGGACAGGCTGGAGGAAGAAACAAAGGGGTTTGAGGAGAACAAGGAGGAAGGCTCGGAGGAGGCGGTCATTGTCCTGATCCATCCTCCTTCCCTCCCGAATCCTCCTGCTCCATGTCCTCAATCTCCTCCTTCTCCCCCCTCCTGAGGACCCCCCTCCCCCTCCTCTCATCCACCTCCTCTACCTCCCCGCAAGCCCCTCCCTCCTCCCCCTCCCCCCCTGCACCCCCTGCCAACTCGCCCTTCCCCGCCCTCCCCTGCCTCCCATCGCCCCGCCCTCCCTCATCCCACCTGCTGCTGCTGCGTCCCCCCCCCGCGAAGGCGAAGGGGAGGCGCAGGGCGCCGGGGCCTCCGGGGCGCGAGGGGAGGCGCGCCGCGGAGCTGGAGAGCGCGCCCCGGTCAGCGGTGCCTTGCCCGGCGCCCCCTGCGGCTCGTGAGCTCCTCGGGCTCCTCCTCGCGGGGGGTCGTCGTCGTCGTCGTCGTCGTCGTCGTCGTCGTCGTCGTCGTCGTCGTCGTCGTCGTCGTCGTCGTCGTCGTCGTCGTCGTCGTCGTCGTCGTCGTCGTCGTCGTCGTCGTCGTCGTCGTCGTCGTCGTCGTCGTCGTCGTCGTCGTCGTCGTCGTCGGTCGTGGTCGTGGTCGTGGTCGTCGTCGTCGTCGTCGTCGGTCGTGGTCGTGGTCGTGGTCGTGGTCGTCGTCGTGTCTCTCCCGAGTGGGGGAGGAGAAGGGACGAAGACTCTCCTCAAAGTGCTCCTCCTCCTCCTCCTTCCTTCTGATCCGTCTCCTCCTCCTGCTTGTTCTCCTCAACATTATGTTCCCCCTTCCCTCCCCCTCCTCCATCATCTCCCCCCCGCCACTTCCCTCATCCCCCGCCTCCTCCTCCTCCTCCGCCTCCTCCTCCTCCTCCTCCTCCTTTCCCTGCCATCATCCCCCGTGCCCACCCCACCCGTCGTTCCCCGCCTGCCTGCCGCCGCACAGGAGGAGGAATGCGGGAACTTTGACACGGCCGCACAGGAGGAGGAAGGCTGACCCACGGCTGGATTCGCCTCGCAAAAAAAGGCCCAAAACGTGCTGCTGGACAGGTCCAGGGGCCGGCCTCGAGGGAGGAGGGGGACCGGACACTGCAGGCGTCGCGGGCGAACAGACACGACAGGCTCTGCAGCCTGGAGCCCCTCCTGTCGTTCTCAAGGCGCCCCCGGGCAGGCACAAACACAAATCCCATGGTCCTTGAGATTTGCATGTTGGTCATCCCTGCAATCTGCCATGGTCTCACATCTTTCCGTGAAAATCGGAGGTTGCTTGTGCCTACGTACGTTTCCCTCCCGTCGCTCTCGGGCACGGAGGTGGGGCCACCGAGCGACGATCTGCGACGGTCTGGGGGACCGGCTCCGAGGGAAAAGCCGTGGGGCCAGCCGTCTTTAGAGACGCCTCCTAGATGGCGTCGGAAAAGATGGGGCTGGCGGATCGCAGCGCATCACTGGCACATCGGCGACGCATCGGCGATGCAAAGGGCGTTGCACCGGCGATGCCTCGTCGACGTCGGCGATGCATCGGCGCCATTGGCGCGGCGAAACTCGGGCTCCGCCTCGAGCCGCACCGCCGAAAGAGGCATCGGCGACATCTGCGGCGCGATCCCCCGACCCCAACTGTACTCGGACCCCGCCTGGGAGGCCGGGCGTCCTGGCGCCGCGAGCGCCAGGCGGGTTCCCCGTCGGAGGGGCACGGCGGCCGCACCCTCGGGGCCCCCTTGGGGGGGTCCACAGGGGGCGACCCCCGAGACGAGGGCGTCCGCGGGGCCCCGGGCCGTGGGCAGCAGCGGCCCGCGGGCGGGACCACCGGCGGAGCTCGGGGCCGTCAGGCAGCGGCGCGCAACGGCAGAGCAGACCAGGAGCTCGTGGGCGATCCGCAGTCGTCGTCGTCGTCGTCGCCGCCGCCGCCGCCGCCGCCGCCGTCGCCGTCGCCGTCGCCGTCGTCGTCGTCGTCGTCGTCGTCGTCGTCGTCGTCGTCGTCGTCGTCGTCAGGGAAATCCTCGTCGACATCGTCATCGTCGCCCGATCCTGCGTCGTGAGCAAGTGAGATCTGCGGGGTGTGGAAAGGGGGGCCCAATATGGCCTCAAGACGCTTCCAGGACGGCCCATGACCCATGATGCACCCAACCAAGACGGCCCAAGATGGCCTCCAGGCGGCCTTCGAGGCCCAAGACGCCCCAAAAGGGCTCCAAGAGGACGTCCACGAGGCAAAAAATCACTCACTGCCCGATTCGTTTTCAATGATTTTATCGAAAGGCCCCTGTCGCTCCAAGATGGCCCCGTAGGCCCCGACGATCGCCCCAGGACGGTACACCAGGCCCCAAAGAAACCCACAAGTCGGCCCCAAAAGAGGCCCAACACGGCCCAAGAGGCCCACAAGACGGGGGCCTGGCATAGGGCCACGACACGCTGCATAAACATAAACTTCTGGAGACCCGCGCGGATTTCTTGGGTCTGCGCTGGGGCTTCCTGGCAGCGCCTCTGGCGTCGCCCCTGGCGCGCTCGGCGTGCCAGGGAGTGGGATCCAGCGCCGATCCAAGCAATCCGCGCGAACTCCAGACAGTGAACACATCGTTCATTTCTAATCGCGTAATCGTGCTCATTCCTCATTGTGCTCGCTTCTAATTGTTCCTGGCCCCCTAGTGGCCAGGAAGAGGCCCAGGATAGAACAACTAGAAATGAAAGGATCTTGGCCTCCCAGAAAAGCAAAGAACTTCCGAAGAATTAGACACGAACAATGTGTATATTCATGCGTTGTGGCTTCCTCGATGGCGGTCCACATGCAGCGACCCTGGCCGGGCCAAGTCCTGGTCCCTATAGGGTCGGTGGGTCGTAAGCCCGCTTCGCCGAAACCGGAGGGCGTGCCTAAAGATCCTGGGCCCAGGACTCATCCACGCAATGGATTACATTCCAAGATCGGCGCGGGTGGATACTCCACCCGCGATGGGTTGAATCATCCGACGAACCTATACTGGGCTCAGTGTGTCTTGGGAACGCCCTGGGCGATTCTGTACAGCTTCCACTTTTCATTCGAAAACGCGCTTTTCGGTAGTTTCTGGCTCCCGTTCTTTTTGTCGTTTTCGGGTCTCCACGGTGATGCGTTTTTGGATCGTTTCCGGAGTCCATCCAAGGAAACGTTTTTTTTTCTTGTTATGACACATGTCCAGCTTCGTTGTTTCACCGCTTCCAGGTCTGCCTCGCAACGTGCTGTGTTGTGCCCGGTACTGCTTGTCTTTAGTCTGGGCGTGCATTGGCAACCACCAGGCGGTAAAGAGGCAGCGGCCGGCCGCAGCAGCAACACGCAGCAGGTCGCAGCGCGCAGCAAAGAACGGCAGACACGCTCAAGCAGGGAGTTGGCGGCTGCAGCGGGCAGCAGGTGCACCTCGTTCGTGTCGGCACTCTCGTGTTGTGCCGCTTGTTCGCCAACTCGGTGTTTATAGTTTCCAGGGGACTGCTTCCTTACCGTTTCCAGCTTGCACCGGCTCGTTGTGAAACGGTTCCCGTTGATCGCGCGGAAGCGTTTTATTTGATAGCTTCCAGGGTCCCTTCTTTAATCGTTTCCAGGCGCCCGCTGTTGGCTCACAAGACACAAAAGCTGGAAACCAGAAAGAACCGCCCAGGGCGTTTCCAAGACACACTGAGATAATGAGGGCACAATCGGAACGGATAAATGGGGAATCTCTGGATTTGGGCAGTTCTGGAAGATGTATTGGGCGCCGCTGCCTCCTCGGAGTGTCCCGGCACACTCTGACAGCGTCCCCGAAGGATCTGGAGCGTTTTGTCCCGATCCTAGGCCTAGATAATCGATGGAGCGGGTAAAGTCAGCTAAACCCACCAGGCTTTCAGGGCGTGAGTGGTTTAGAGCGTGTCCTCTTCCAACCCCCATCTTCCCCTTCGGGAAAGTGCCTTTAACTGCTCCGTCTTGATGAGCACCCCCTCCCCCAAGCGACGGGCAGCCAACCAGGAATAATGATAACACCCCCCCACCACCACCGCGACCAACCAGAAACAACGACAACACTTCCGCCGCCCCCCCCATCCTGTTCAAAAAACAATACAAAATACAACTTGAGCAAATACTGGGTCATGCTCGTGGGTTCCGCAAGCGGTTTGAATTGTTTGTTGATGGGGACGGCGGGGGTGTTCTCGTCTTGCCTGCTGCGCGACAGGCTACCATCCCTGTCACAGAAACGATACAACATACACTCCGCTGCTCAATGCGGACCATGCGCGGCCACCCCACGATCATTGTCCACCGATTCCTCCGCGCCGCGATTGTGCATGGGCTTCGACAAGGATGGCCGGGGCCGACATGTTTTCGACGTGTGCTGTCAAGTGAGCGGGCGCACCTGGCACACTCGGCGCGTGCCCCGGACGTTGCGCACCTGTCGCGGCTGGACCATGCGGCACACATGGCGCACGTAGAGCACGTGGCACATTCGGCGCGCCTGGCGTACCTGGCCCCTCTGGGCCCCGGGGGTGCCCGGCGCACCTGGCGCGCGTGGCGCGCCTGGCACGCGCTGCGCACCCCGCCCCAGCATCGCGCACATCTGCTTTGGTTCCCAGCAGCTGCCCATCCATAGACGACCGCTTCACATGCCGAGGCTCGGGTGCTTCCCATGTGTTGAGAGGGCGGGCGGGGGTGAGCTTTTTTGGATTTTGATTTATCCTCGGGCTACCGTCAGAACAATAACTCCTGCACGTCGCCGACGCGCGACGGAATGGCCCGAGGGGGGCCGAAAGAAAGCGCGGAACGGCCCCAGGAACCACACACACACACACACACACAACGAGCGGAGGGACACGACCGAAAGAAACGGGCCACGAAACAACGAGGGCAACGAAAGTTATTGACCCCTCCCCTGCCCCCTACCCCTGGACCTGGATGGGGGGGGGGGGGGCGGGCCGTTGGAGCGCCCCAAACGGCCCGGGTCAGAAGGCACACGCCACTTCTTTGACGAAGGTTTGGGCAACATGTTGGACTCCTGGGCGGGGGCGCTAATTTACTCTGTCCCCTCCCTTGCTCGCTCTCCTCCAAGATGGCCCCAAGATGGCCCCATTCAGGCTCCCAAGGCTACCCCAAGACGGCCACAAGGGGTGCCCAGGAGGCCCCAAGACCCCCCAGATGCCCCCAACAGGCTCCCAAGATACCCTCAAGAGGCCACCCCCAGGGGCACCGAAGACATCCTAAGAGGCCCCTGGGACCGCCAAGAGAATCCCAAGATGCCCCAAGAGGACTCCAAAAAGCTCCCGAACGACACCCGAACAAATTCCGAGAGGCATCAAAGAGGCCTCTGGCCTTCCTGCTCGCCCTCCTCCTGCTCCTCCTCTTCCTCATCTCTTCTCCCCATGTCCCTCCCTCCGCCGATTCCTGATCACCCTCCCCCACTCGGGGAATGACAACTTACGCAGCCCACTATTTCACTGCATGCCCCTCCGCATCCATGATCAAGGCAATTCGTGTGGACATCGTTTCTGGATGGGCTGGTGGGTCTACTTTTTTGATCTGCGGCCCAAGGGAAGAGTCCAGAGGGCGGGTCAATCGGGCTCACTGGGGCACAGAGCCAGATAATTTGCGAACCCAGCCGTCACTGTCGACAGCCGACCGCACATGCAAGCATGCCGAGCAAATTCGAGGAAACGCAGCTTAACACGGCAGCCGACGACGGACAGCGGGGCGTCGCACAGTGGCGCCAGCACCCGACAGACCGGACGGGCTGGTGGGTCTACGCGAAGCGTCTAGAATTCACAGCTGGCGTTCCCCGAATTGGTGTTTCTTCAAGCGTGTTTGTGCTCGGCAAGTCGGACGGAGATTCATGTCCAAATTCCCCTCCCCAATCCCCTCCCCTCCCCTCCCCTGCTCCTCCCCCTCTTCGGGAGCCCGTGCGAGGTCAGGCGTGCAAGCCTGCGCAGGTGGTCTACCACGAGGAAGCCCAAAACCATTCCTCCGAGGCAGCTCGCAGGGACTTGGCTTCTTTGGGCAAGAAACTGGGGTGAGTGATGTGAGAACCCAGGGTATCCGCACGGATTCCGGGAGTCTGTTAATGGGAAATCGGGGTCCTCGGTCGGAAGCCTGGATGTTCTGGGCGAGAGAGTGAATGAAGCCTTTCGGCAGGCGGACCGCCTGGGGTCTGTGGTATGTGTGCATGTGCCTGGGCATTTGAGTGAAAGCCGGGGTAGTTCGGCAAGATGTCCTTGGGTGGGATCTGGAGATGTTCGACGAGAGCCTCTTCGGACCTCTCTGAACCCCTGACTCGCGAAAAGTTGTCATCTCTGGGAAGCGCCACATGTACTTCAATTGGCAGACCACCTGCTCTTTGACTTCCGCCGCCTTCCGCCACTTTCCGCCGAAGAAGAGATGTCAACCCCTCGATCAATCGAAGGAAAGGGGCCTCTCCGGAGCGCATTCTGCAGCGCCTTTGGGCTGGAAGCCTTATCTAGAGCAGGGGCCGACCGTCCTGGCAGTCCCGCAGGCCCAGCGCGGCATGTTCTTAGAACCGAGAAATGCTCCGAGAGTACACACACACACACACTGCTCTCAGAACACCAGCCCGATGTGCTGAAGCAAGACCGCCTCAGCCAGACATGTTCTAAGAGCACTTCGTGCAGACCTCACAAGGATAGTATCACATGACTTGGTGCGTCTCTTCTGGAGCGGCCAAGAGGGGGGTGTCCAAGAGGGGGGGTGCGAATCATGACCGGCGGCATGTGCGCGGCCCTGCGGGGGGACCAGGGACGTAATGAAATAAAAAGAGGCGCCATGAAATCTGGGGAAATATCATGACCCACGCCATGATATCCACCCCCCCCGTAGTCATCACCCCCTCTTTTTCCGCCCCCGATATTGGCGAGGCAGGACGCTGCGCCGCTGCTCGCTTGTCTGCTCCTCCACTCGGCTATCCTCGGAGACCCCGCCGTCGGTCCTTCGACTTGCCGCCCTTCGCCCCGCCCTTCTTGCCGCCGCCCTTCTTGCCGGCGCCCTTCGGCGCCTCCCAGGAGGCCTCCTCCTCGTGCCAGGCCTTCGACTTGCCCTTGCCCTTGCCCTTGGCCTGGCCCTTGCCCCAGGCCTCCTGGCGGCCAGGGCGGAGAGGAAAGGCAGTCATAGTGGTCATGGTCCCCCCTGCCCTTGGCTTATGTGGTCCCCATCTCACATAAGGACCACCTCCCAGAAATACTTTCGAGCACCCAGAGAACTGTCAAAAGAGTGTCGAGACAGTTTCGAAACAGTGTCGGGCGAGTGTCTCCCCGGGCCCGACACGTGAAAACCCTTGAGTTTCGGTACTGTTTTGGCGCTCAACATTCTTTCTGGTGGTCAAGGCTAAAGTGGGTTGGAGCATCATAACCCTTGGCCTTGCCCTTGCCCCTGGCCTCCTGACGGCCACGGCGGAGGAAAAAAGGCAGACGTGGTGGCCATGGCCGCCCCGAAGGCCCCCAGCAGGAGGAGGAGGAGGAGGCGGAGGAGGAGGAAGAGGGGAAGGAGGAGGAGGAGGAGGAGGAGGTGGAGGAGGAGGAGGAGGAGGAGGAGGAAGGAGGAGGGAGGAGGAGGAGGAGGAGGAGGAGGAGGAGGGGGAGGATGCGGAGGCGGAGGAGGGGAGAAGGGAGGTGGAGGAGGAGCAGGAGGAGGAGGAGAAAGAGGAGGAGATGGCGGAGGAGGAGATGGAGGACGAGGAGGGCGAGGAGAAGGGAGGATGAGGAGAAATAGGAGGAGGAGGAGGAGGAGAAGGAGAAGGAGGAAAAGGAGGATGCCGAGTAGGAGGAGGAGGAGGAGGAGGAGAAGGAGGAGGAGGAGGAGGAGGAGGAGGAGGGGGGAGGAGGACGAGGAGGAGAAGGAGGAGGAGGAGGATCGAGGACCGATCAGGATCCAAGACTCCTCCCGAAGACCATCCTGGCCGCTGATCGAGCTGCGTCCAGTCGTGGCGACGAGAACATCCCGGAAACGCATGAGCGCACAAATCCCTCCGAGGCGATCTCTGAAGGCCGAGAAGAGGCGGACCAAGACCCCCGACAGCGTGATTTGTTCCACAGCGTGGGCCCCGGGAAGTGCGGACCCCACCTCCTCGATCGGCTTTACGACGGTCCCAGGGCGCGGCGTGTAGGGACCCCAGAGACCAAACATGACAAGACACATTCGTGGTTGCTTTTCACTACGCAAAGGGGGCCTGAGGAAAGGGTGGCACTGGGATCCAGTGCCTGGAGCTTTCCAACAAGGAGGCCGCGCAATTCCGTCCTGTCCCCAGAGGCGGCGTTTCGTCCTGAGCCGTTGCTTGACAGCCACGATGCCCGCCGAGGGGTCCCGGAGGCAGACACCGATGAAACACCTGCGGCTTGATGTTTGTCGACCCTTTGGGTGTCTGGTGGGCGTTTTCTGATTCGGCGTTTCGACATTGGGCGGAAGGGGGGGGAGGGGGGGGGTCTGGCTCCTGGGTGCGACTGTTTGGAACCGTGCGTCCTGTGGGGGGGACTCCACCTGCTCGAAACAGGCGCCCCAAGAAAGCAGAGATCTACTCCAAGCGGGAGGGGGGGGAAATGGGGGGAGGGAGGGCCCGTGCAGATCGGCAAAGCACGGACTCAGAAAACGATCATACTGTTTGTCAAGACTTTGGATGTCTTGACAAACCTTCTGGGCGCCTGTCTGGGTGCGGGGGAAGGGGGGGGCCGCACCGCGACCCCCGTGCGCGGGGCTCTGGCCCCCGGGCGGTCCTCCTCGTAGTCCCAGGCGTCCGCCTCCTGTGCCAGCCACCGCCGAAGGGAGGCCAGGGAGGTCAGAGAGGGCGGAGGACGGGAGGGGGAAGGGGCAGGGATGGGGGGAGAGGGGGAGGAAGAAGGAGGGAGGAGGGAAGAGGGAAAGGGAGGAGAGGGAGGAGGAGGAGGAGGAGGAGGAGGAGGAGGAGGAGGAGGAGGAGGAGAGGAGGAGGCGGAGGAGGAGGGGGGAGGAAGGAGAGGAGGAGAGAAGGAAGGGAGGGCGGAGGACGGGAGGAGGGATATGGGCAGGGAGGAGGGAGGAGGAGGGGAAGGAGGGCGGAAGAGGAGGAGGAGGAGGAGGAGGAGGAGGCGGAGGAACGCTCATGCCCGAGGGGCCACGCTACACCCATCGACGCAGGCGCACAGGATGCTGAGTAGGAGGAGTGAGGAAACGGGAGGAGGACCAGGAGCTGAGGCAGACTAGAAACAGGAGGTGGGAAGACGACGAGGCGGTTGGAGTAGGAGGGGGAATGGGGGAAGGAGGAGGAGTTGGATGAGGGAGGGAGGGAGGGAGGGAGGGAGAAGGAGGAGGAGGAGGAGGAGGAAAAACAAAGACCCAAACCCCTGGCGCGTGAGAGGAACACGCAACCGCAAGCTTCTGGACAGATTGAAGTCTCGGGGGGGAAGTGCTCGAGCCATCTCGGCGGCTCACGCTATGGCTGTGAAAGAGTCGCGGCGCTGATTGCATCGGGGGAGGATGGAGGAGGATGAGGAGGAGAAGGAGGAGGAGGAGGAGAAGGAGGAGGAGGAGGAGTAGGAGCAGGGAAGAGATGGGTGGAGGAAGAAGATCTCTGACAATTCCACTGGGAACCTCCCGAAGCTTGGAAAAGTCTCTCCGTCCCTGAGAACTCTGGGAATGCTGGGAGGAGGGAAGGACGTTTCGGGCCCGGGCCCTGGCAACGGGAACTCCAGTAGGCCGGTTGTTTATACCCCTTGTTGTCGTCGTTCCTCCCGCGACCCAGCCGGCGACGGCGACCCGCCGCGACCCTCACGCGACCCGCACGCGACCCACCTGCGGCCCACCCCACGCCCGCCCCCTCACCAACTGCTGGGTGCTGCATGTCCCAGACCGCCTGACGAGAGATGAGTTGGGGTAATTCATCCTGGACACGTCCTCGGTGACGCAGACCAAAATTCTACAAGGCGTGCCAGTACCATTGTTCGATGAACCTTGTCATTATCAATTGACAATGAGCTACCCTCCACCCAGCCACTTATGGATCCAGAGAAGGAAGCAACCACCAGAACATAGAACACACAGTGGTCGGACATCAGACCGCCTTCCGACTGCCCCCAGCCTGGAAAAGGGCCCCATGCAGGCCGCAAGCGCCCCCCCCGCCACGCACGCACACACAAGAAGCTCCCGCGTGGCTTCTCCAAGACGGCAAAGCCCCAGAGCCGCCCGGATCCGACGGCCAGAAGAAGCTGCAACGGCTTATGCAATCAGGTGCAAAGCGCTATGAACACACCATCGTCCTAGGCACTTTCTTGGCGGCGCGCACCAGGGGTCAGGGGGAGGGGGGAAGGCTAACGAGGCTGCTTCTCGAAGGCGCCCGCCCTTCCCTCTATAGACAAGGCCCGCGCCATCTGAGAAGCAGGTGTGCTTGCAGGAAACCGCCCCCGCTCCCCCATGCCCCCCTCTGCGCGGGGCTGAACAGCTCAAGCTGGATCGATCCGTGAGAGGGTACTGGGGCCCGCGACCGCGCGAAAACGCCCGAAGTCAAACAAACTGCGAAGCCCTGATCTCCAGCTCTGGAAGCCGACGACGGCGACGTCCACGACGACATCGACGACGAAGACGGCGGCGACGGTGACGACGACAACCATAACAACAACGAGGACGAGGACGAGGACGAGGACGAGGACGACGACGACGACGGCGGCGGCGGCGACGACGACCACGACGCTGACGACGACGACAACGACGACGGCGACGGCGACGGCGAACGCGACGAACGCGACGGCGGCAACGACGGCGACGGCGACAGCGCGACGGCGACGGCGACGGCGACGAGGAGCTCCTCGGCCCACTGCTGCCCGCCGGCCTTCCCGCGGCGGCGGCGGCGGCCGCCCTCGTGCCGACCCTCGCCCCAGTCCTCGTGCCAGCCCTCGTCCCAGCCTGCCGGCGGGGGGGAGGGGCCAGAGGCCTGCTCGATGGGGTCGGAGTGGATGGGGTCGGAGGATCGCTCCGCATCGTGGATGCATCGGCGATGCATCGCCAACGTCGGCGACGCATCGGCGACGTCGGCGTGGAGAAAATCGGGCTCCGCATCGAGCCGCATCGTCGATGCATCGGCGGTGCGGCGCGATCCTCCGATCCCATCTACTCCGACCCCATCTGGGCGGCCCAGAGGGGCGGGGTGTCGAGGCTCTGACCGACAATTTGTCCGTAGCTGAGGTTGCTTCCCCAGAGATCCGACGCTCCAGGAACAAAATGGGAGCGGCGGGGTTTGGGCCGCTTTCGGCCTTTGTCGTGACCGTGCCCCGCCACCATCGAGTGCACTGTACACTCGCGAAGGAGGCGAAATGAAGTCTGGACTCCCCTTCATCGGGTGTTCTTGCCATCGCTCGGACGTCCATTTCCTGTGCATTTTTCGGTTTCGTGCGTGTTTTTGTTTGCTCGATGATCCAGGATACTCCTCCAGGGTCCTCGCCGAGGAAAAAATGCACACGTCCGAGCGATGCCAGGAGTTGCTGGAAATGCCCCTGGGCCAAGGTGCCCCCGGGATTCTCGGTGCAGCCCGGACGGCCTCCGGAGCACTCCTAACGAGGCCCAGAGGGCAGGACGCGAGCACAGCGTTTCGAGATCCGCTGCAGGCTCGAGAGGCTCGAGCGGCTCGAGGCCTTTGGCCTCGAGGCTTCTGGCGCTGGGCCCGCCCGGCTTGGACGCCCCCCGCATGTCGGCGGCAAGCGAGGGGGGGAAGTGAGAAGGAGAAGCTGGGAACGATTCCCCCTCTGCTTCTAGAGGAGGCGTGAACGTCGCACTGAGAATACACTGGCGCGCGCAATCTGTATACTGATGTGCGTTCTGCGGCTCATATCAGCGTGGTCCGCTCATGCGTGCGTGTTTGGCGCGCGCGCACAGTGCCAACACGAAGGCCTTCTCCTGGAGAAGGCCTTCTCAGAAGGCGGCGGCTCTTAGAAGAAGCCCTTGCGACTTCTGAGAAGTTGTTTTTCTCCGCGGAAGGCCCAGGAAACTGCCCAGGAGGCCTGGGGACCGCCGAACCCTCTCTGAGAAGGCCTACTCCTTCTCGCCTCCCCCCTCGCTCGCCGCCGAGCACGGGGCCGCGTGCATCGCGACCCCAGGGTGCCAGCGCACTGCGGAACGCAGCCCCAGAGAACACTTCTTGCCTCGCGGGTCGAGAGCGCACCTCCTCCAGTCGAAGCTGAGCGGGCCGCGCGAAGCTTGAATTAGACAGAGAATCCCAGAGAACACGTCCAGGGGGCGAGGAGGATGGGTGGGAAGAAGCGTGGGCCACCGTGGCGAAGCTGCGGCTACGGACCAGGACCTCGGCGCCCTCCGTCTTTTTTTTTTCGCCACGCTGCACGGACTCTGGTGGGACTGATCTGCCCTTCGCTCCCTCGCAGCCCCCTCCTCCTCCTCCTCCTCCTCCTCCTCCTCCTCCTCCTCCTCCTCCTCCTCCTCCTCCTCCTCCTCCTTCGTTCCCCCCCATCCTCCTCGTCACCTCTCCTCCGCCTCCCCGGACCTCTCTGGCACCCGGTGCAGGCGAACCGGGGGAGGGAGGCGCTTCGCCTGCCTCGGCCTCCGGGGCGGCGGGCGAGGGGGCGGAGTGCGGAGGAGGAGGAGGCCTGCTCGGAGGGCGGCGGGGCCTCTCAGAAGCCCTCCGGCCTCCGGAGAGAGGTTTCCCCTGTCTTCGGGGATGGATCAGAAAACTTCCCAGAAGGCCGGGGGAGCCTTCGGAGAAGGCCTGCTTCCTCTGCTTATTATTATTATTATTATTATTATTATTATTATTAATATTAGTATTATTACTATTATTATTCGTAGTATTATTATTACTATTATTATTATTATTAATATTATTATTAATATTATTATTATTATCAGTATCATTATTATTTATTATAACTGTCATTATGATGATGATTCGTATAAATATTATTTTTCTTATTATTATTATTATTCTTCCTATTCTTCATTATTCTTACTTCCCCCCGGGGCTCGTAGCCGATTCGTTTTGGCGCTCCAGGGACAGCTGGCGAAGACCTGTAGGAAAACATCCACTGCCACAGACGAAGACCTGTAGGAACATATCCACTGCCACAGCCGTCGCCCCAGGGCAGGGCTGGAGAGCTCCCGCCCCCCCGCATCGAACCAGCAGCACGCATCCGAACCTGGGGCCATGCTGCTGGAGGGGAGGACGGACGCGCAGAAGGCAGCGGCGGCAGCCTCACGTCCCGATGGCGACTATGACGACGACGACGACGACGACGACGACGACGACGACGGCGACGACGGCGGCGACGGCGACGGCGACGGCGACGACGGCGACGACGACTTCCCATCTTCGAAGACCGCAGCATGCCACCACACCCAGTGTGCGGGGGCACCAGAGCACTACACTTAAGTCGGGCGTGTCCCCCTACAGGGGGATTTGGGACGAAAAATAATTATCCCAGCAAAGCAACCGAACTGCGATGTGTATAAGCATATCTGGAAGCATTCCCCTTAAGATTCAGGTGAGAATCCAATTGTAGAATTCTGCTGTTCTCGCAGTCGAAGTCGCATTCGCAATGACAGTCGCAGTGGCAACGGCCTTAGGATCCAATGGAATCCTAAGGATTTCTAGGGATTCCTAAGGCATCCTTAGGCATCCTTAGGAATCCATAGGAATCCTTAGGAAACCTTGCGAATCCTTAGGAATCCTGATTCCTAGCGATTCCTATGGATTTGTCAAGGAAACCTAAGGAATCCTCAGGATTCCGAAGGATTCGCCTGCCTCGGGCTCAGCCTCAGCCTGCCCCAGCCTCAGCCTGCCTCGGCCTCAGCCTAAGCCTGTCTCAGCCTCAGCCTGCCTCAGCATCAGCCTCAGCCTCAGCCTCAGCCTGCCCCGGCTTGCCTCGGCCTCAGCCTCAGCCTGCCTCGGCCTCAGCCTCAGCCTCAGCCTGCCTCAGCCTCAGCCTCAGCCTGCCTCAGCCTCAGCCTGCCTCAGCCTCAGCCTGCATCAGCCTCAGCCTTAGCCTGCCTCAGTCGCAGCTTGCCTCAGTCTCAGCCACAGCCTCAGCCTCAGCCTCAGCCTGCCTCGGGTTGCCTCAGCCTCAGCCTCAGCCTGCCTCGGCCTCAGCCTCAGCCTCAGCCTGCCTCAGCCTCAGCGTCAGCCTCTCAGCCTCAGCCTGCATCAGCCTCAGCCTCAGGCTGCCTCAGCCTCAGTCTCAGCCTGCCTCAGCCTCAGCCACAGCCTCAGCCTCAGCCTCAACCTGCCTCGGCCTCAGCCTGCGTCAGCCTCAGCCTCAGCCTGCCTCAGCCTGCCTCAGCCTGCCTCGGCCTCAGCCTCAGCCTCAGCCTGCATCAGCCTCAGCCTGCCTCAGCATCAGCCTCAGCCTCAGCCTGCCTCGGCTTGCCTCGGCCTCAGCCTCAGCCTGCCTCGGCCTCAGCCTCAGCCTCAGCCTGCCTCAGCCTCAGCCTCAGCCTCAGCCTCAGCCTGCATCAGCCTCAGCCTCAGCCAGCCTCAGCCTCAGCCTGCCTCAGCTTGCCTCAGCCTCAGCCTCAGCCAGCCTCAGCCTCCGCCTGCCTCAGCTCAGCCTCAGCCTCAGCCTCAGCCTGCCTCGGCGCCTGCCAGCCTCAGCCTCGGCCTGCAGCCTCAGCCTCAGCCTGCCTTAGCCTCAGCGTCAGCCTCAGCCTGCCTTCAGCCTCAGCCTCAGCCTCAGCCTGCCTCAGCCTCAGCCTCAGCCTCAGCCTCAGCCTGCCTCAGTCTCAGCCTGCCTCAGCCTCAGCCTCAGCCTGCCTCAGCCTCAGCCTGCCTCAGCCTGCCCCAGCCTCAGCCTGCCTCAGCCTCAGCGCCTGCCTCAGCCTCAGCCTCAGCCTGCCTCGGCCTCAGCCTGCCTCGGCCTCAGCCTGCCTCAGCTCGGGCACTCAAAATATATCAAAATATGGCACAGGACTGGTGTTCTGGGAACACGAAGATCACGAAGTGGCCCACAGTTGGCTTTGGGCAATCAAAATATGGTACAGAAATGGTGTTCTGGGAACACGAAGAACACGAAGTGGCCTACAGCTAGCTCCGGCCATTCAAAACGTGGCCTGGGAAGGGTGTTCTGGGAACACGAGAAACACGAAGTTGCTAACAATTGGCTCCAGGCATTCAAAATGTGGTACAGGAGTGGTGTTCTGGGAAGACGAAGAACACGAAGTGGCCTACAGTTGGCTCCGGGCATTCAAAATGTGGCCTAGGAATGGTGTTCTGGGAACAGGAGAAACACGAAGTTGCTAACAATTGGCTCCAGGCACTCGAAATGTGGCCTGGGAATGGTGTTCTGGGAACACGAGAAACACGAAGTTGCTTACAATTGGCTCCAGGCATTCAAAATGTGGTACAGAAACGGTGTTCTGGGAAGACGAAGAACACGAAGTGGCCTACAGCTGGCTCCGGGCATTCAAAATGTGGCCTGGGAATGGTGTTCTGGGAACACGAAGGGCACGAAGTGGCCTACAGTTTGCTCCGGGCATTCAAAATGTGGCCTGGGAATGGTTTTCTGATGCAAGAATGGAAGGATTCCGAAGGAATTCTTAAAGATTCCTGAAGCTGACGGTTTTTTCCGGTTCCCGCCCAGACACCCCTGGGGCTGCCGGTTTCTGTCGGTCCTAATCTTTTGACACCACTAAAAACCTATCAGCAAAAGCTGATAGGTAAAGAAAACTCCAATATGAAAAAAAAATACTCCAAACATAGTCCCCATACTATTTTTCTGTTATTTTTGAACATTCCCCCTGTAGAGGGGCAGGCGCGACTTCACACTACACCACACTAACAGCGGGGGGGAGAGACCCATGAGTAGGAGCTGGGGGAAGGGCGAACCCATCAGCATGGGCGGGGGGGCCCAGACCTTGGAACACACGTGCAGTCCGATCACCAACCAAGAAAACACTGCATTTAAGTCGGGCCTGTCCCCCTACAGGGGGATTTTAGACGAAGCATTAAGAATACTCGAACAATTCTCAAAAAACGC